CGACATCGAGAAATCGTTCGGAGGTCGGGATCGACGTTTCTGGTCCACTTAGATTCAGACAGAGGGAAGTCTTGTAAATTTCGCGCGGGCGGTGTGGGACTGTTCACCAGAAGAGGACGGGTGAAATGACTGATAGAATTATTGCTTAGAGGCCAATAATACGGTTTGTTCCTGCTGTAAATAACACTTCATTTCACAGAACTGCAGTATGCAGACGGTATGTGGTGGTCTTGTTTGCCAGACATTCTACACACTTAATATGTGAACGGTCACTTCCGTTGAATGGCAACGGTGTGGTGGCCAGGAGATATGGACTTGCTATCATAATGAGTTTTGTTGAGATTAGTAGCAGGTACACAATTTAGTAGGTTGTTGCATTATATTTTGCGGAGAACTGGGGTTAATTTGTGTTTCTGTCGGGGATACTGTTCGCTCGTCTGGGGTTGTCGGCGAACGAATATTGCACATAGATTACTTCCCAGGAACTTGTATGCAACATATTTTTTTATTGATAAAATAAATTAATGATTATACTTTTTATTTAATTAAAGTTTCTTGAATAAACTAAATAAATTATTATCTATCTATCTAAATACATAACTAAAGTAATTAAGGTTCTACAAAGTAATAAGGGAAATGAATCATAAATCTCTAAAAAAATGATAATTTGTCCTCTCTGGGCCTAGAAATTTTTGTATGGAAATATAAGGTATTTTCATTAACATCAAGCTACATAAAATACAAAGCAAACATATAATTGGCTAAGCTCCTTGCTGATGCGAAATATAAGAAGCTAAATAAAAAAATATGAAGAGGGTAATCATAAGTATATTATTACATAGTTCATTTATCACACATACCTAAACTTTCAGACCTCACAAAAAGCTAAAATATTTTGGTTATATTCATTACACAGAGATAATATCGAGATAATGTTTCTGACGAAAGATAAGTGCAGGGTTTATAAAGGCAGATAGGAGAAATAAGAGCATTGGTCTTTCTGTAGAAACAATTCTGCTTGTTACTGTTAGTCACACAAAGTACATCAGTCAAATCATTTGAGCAAATATATAAATCATCAATTAAGTCAGATAGTAGTTCTTCTCTCCGCATGGATTTGGTTTAGCATAACTATCCTGTAATAATGTAATTTTAATAAAAATTAATTACGGAGACAGAAAGAGAAATAGACTGATAGTGATAACGGCACAGTCTACAATGTATACATACACCTTAGAAGAGGAAACCTTCTACGCAGCATGAATTGATAAGATATTTCTTGCACTTGGGATTAAGACGACACATACTCATTTGTGGAAGTTTGAGATCAATTCTTAAGTATGCACACACATGTGGTGGAGACGGAACATCGGGAGACATATAATGATGCGACACTCAAACACATACAGTCGTATATTCTTATTAGCGCTATACAGCGTTTGATAAACAGTGGGTATAATAGATCTAGAAGATAGATGATTAGGCGCGAGGTAGTATCAGAATTTAAATTAAAATAAAGCGTTGGAACAATAAATGGACACATTAGTGAAAAGCATAATATAAGATTCCTTGCATCTTTAAATATTTAGCAGGAATTGTTTATTTAAAACAAATAAAAGAAGAAACATAATTGAATAATAACATTTTGCTAAACTATAGGACAAAATTACATACATGGTAATTTATAATCTCTAGTAAAAATTACAACACACCGTAACTAGTGTATGTATGTGATAATAATTAATATTCATTTTATACATTCATGTATCATAATTGGTACTAAAAGACGATGCCTAAATTGTTGAATTATAATTTATACTAGGCTACCTGGTGAACGCCGGTGCCATGCGGCGAAGGTGCGACGTTACATCGTAATCAACCCATTTCTGCGACCTTCATCAGGGCGAATGCGCGATATGTGCTGCGCACCAGTTTAAATGGGCTTAGTTTACTCCTCTACCCGAGTGCGCGGTTGCCGGGTAGTCGCCAAATGGGAGAGAGTGACCGCAATCAGCGGCGGCGGGCTCCCGTAGTGTGAGAGGAGTCGCTACACGTCAGTAATCGTACCGAGTGCGGAACAACTAGACTCGGCAGTCTCGTTCGAGATCGGAATGGTGACCGAAACGTCGGCACCTTCGCCATGGACGCGGCGTCACCCGGACAGCCTAGTAAATAATTCAACATTAGGCCGTCTTTATGTACCAATTATGAACATTGAAGTAAAATTGAAATTAATTATTAAATAAAATTAGTACATGTGTTTTTGTAATTTTTTAGGATTATAAATTACAATGTATGGTATTTGTCTATTTACCAACAATGTTATTTATTCAATTATTTTTCTTCCTTTTATTTGTTTTAAATAAAAAGTTCTGCTAAATTTAGATGCAAGGAATTATATATTAGTGCTTTTCCCAGCCTATTGTGTATTTTATTAGCTGTCCCCGGCTTATTTTTAATTTTAAGTCCTTTTTCAGGTGTCTAAAATGTAGGTTTTAATGCCTTTAATATCCGATGTCTAGTGACATGTGTGTGGAATACTTAAGAAATTATGATAACTCAAAAAGAGGTAATCCAGCAGAATTTCTTCACATGGTGAAGTGTTCCTGCTAGTGTCTTGTTCTTGGCGATACCTTTGTTTCTTTTGCTTGGTATTATTTTGTTATTATTCATTTATCACAGGAAGTTAATGTAAAAACCAAATGAACCAGCAGAGAAAATACACTGCTTCATTTGATTTTAATTGTCAGATTTACTGATTTTATGTAGTAACAAGCAATTATTTTTACAGCCATGCATTTTCTCTTCTGCCTCTTATAAACCTGCATTACTCTTTCGAGTAACATTATTCGAGTATTATCTTCCTGTGGTAAATGAATAATAACAAAATATTTTAAGCTTCTTTTTATGTCTGAAAGTTTTGGTGATGTGTGATAAATGAGACTGATGTAAAAATATACTTATTGATGCTGTCACCCTCTTCAAATTTTTTTATTAGCTTCTTTATATTTTGCACAGAAGGAGCTTAGTGCAATTTATATTTGTGGCTTGTCTTTTATGTAGCTTGAATGTTAATGAAAAGTACTTATATTTGCTCATAAAAATGTCTAAGGCAGAAGAGGACAAATATATTTTTGTAGAGATTTATGATTTCATTTCTTTAGTACTTTGTAGAACTTAAGTACTTTAGGTTATGTATTTAGATAGATAGTAGTAATAATTTATTTTATTGTTTCATTCAAGAAATTTATATTAATAAAATTAATACATATTTATTTATTCATAAAATAAATGTTGATACATCTGGATTATTGTGCATTTCGTATAAACACAATGCAAGTCTCAAAGGAACATCAATCAGTTTCTACAAAATATATGACACATCTATGAATCTGGAATTGAAAAACATTTCTAAATTCATTTCTAACATGGACGGACAGTACTACAAATGTGATAAGAAAATGTGTGTGGGATTCAAAAAAATGTTTTCATTCCATCTTTTAAAAGCTCAAAGCCTGTCAGTTATTTAAACTGAAAAGCATATCACATCATTCGCATCATAGGCAGAAACACAAAATTCTGTCCCGTATGAATTTAAAAATTTTCCACCCACAAGCATTTTATTTTCAACAGCAGCTGTGTATTTGTGGAGAATCTGGAAAAACAATTATTGTTTTTTATGAAGGGTTGTCTTTTCACTAAAAAAGCAATTACTTTCAATCTTAAAATTAAAATAAATTTTTACCAATTTCTCTTCAGAATCAATTGTCCAAATTTTTGCAAATGAGTCTTCTGATACAGAAAGCAAAAGACCTCGGCCTGGAGCCAAATCTATTCCCGTTATCCAACGAGCATGTGCTGCAACTTCTGTTAGTAAACGAGAAGTTTTGAAGTCAAACATTCTAATATGACCTGAGCCATAAGCTGCAAGAATTAAGCTCTTCCACATTTGAATACTTGTGCATGGGAATCTGAAACAACATTCCATTTTATAAAAATTAATGAATGTTAATGAGATAAATTTATCAATGTAACTGATAAGAAATTTTTGTGATAAAATTTGTCACAAAAGCACTCAAAGTGATACAACTGATAATAATTAAGATCCATTACCGAAACCCATTGTATTGTCAGTTCATATACAACTCAGATTCACATGAGATATTGGCACATTGCAGTCCAATAGTTACATATTGTGTTCAAACTGAAAACAGATGACAGGTGCATGTGAACAGCAGAGGTTTTTACCTCATTGAATTTGTAGCAATGCTGACCTGTGATACAAATATATACTCAACACCAACAGAATGAATTCAACACAAAGAAATTTATTTACACTTGGCATCAAGTCACATAAGTGACTCAGATGCCTTGGAGAAACTGCATATCTTTAACCTGATATTCAGACACTTGTCTAAGTTCTAGAACAAAGGTTTCATGAAGTGAAATGAATTTAGTGTGTTGGGATGTAATTGAAATTGTTTACTGATTTTCCAGATAATAGTTGTACCAAAAATGCAAATGAAAACAAATGTAGATTGAATGCAGACAAAGTATTGAGAAATGAATGGGCCTACACAATCAATTTTTAAGGGTTATGAAAATCTGTATTCTTAATGTAGTGAGAAATATCCTAAACCTTTTCATGTAAAACATACGAATCAAGGCCTTTTATTAACGAATGAATTGAGGTAGTAAATCTGTGAAAGTACATTTTTTTCTAAACTAATTTCTTGTTTCACTTTTCATAAAAAGCATTAAGGAAACTGAAAAAGCATTTTGAATGTTTTGCTACAATACAAATGTGTGTGTCAAAGAGTGTAGTGTGTAGTCAAGGAGTCTTTCCTTGACAGCCCAGGATAATAACAATGTGCTACATTTAGAAATTATTTTATAATTCGTTTCATACTACATCAACATTCTGAGAGTGTTTTATACATTAACTTCTATTATATGCATTAGAACACGATGCCTTACCCTCGTCCTGTTATTGTTGTTATACATTCAATTGTATCTTTTACATTCCATAATAGTAGACAACCACTGTCATCTGCTGATACCATTATGTCTTGAGATTCATTACATGCAATATCAGTTATTGCCTTGTTATGAGATGAAAGTTTTTCAAGATGTAGGTAATCACTAACATCACTGGGTATCTTAAATATTCTTATTGACCCAGAACTGTTTCCTGTAATAATATATGTAGTGAAACATAGAAATTAAATTACTGAAAATGGGAGATAACTGAAATCATCCATTTCTTGCTTATAAACGTAAGGGAGGCTTACCTACACACAGCCTTTCCCCATTCACAAGTGCTAAACCTCGAGCAAAGGAGTCGGTACTTCCATGGGAATCACTGCATGAGTGTGTAAACAAACACTTCCTTCCTTCGTCATCATATACATGAAGCCCTAATGTAGAGGTAATGGCTAAAATTTGTGTGCCCTGCACACAAAACCACTTGACCTATAAAAAAATTAAACTTTCTCTGTATTTCTCAATTGAAAAATTGTGTGCCACACTTTACCATGTGCATAATTATTATTAACACCCTTAATTAGGAGTATCTTTATATCAAATGCTCAGGTGTTCCAATACTTTGTAGAATGTTCAAATAAATTTGCTCCACTTCAGTTGAAAAGTTCATTCTCAGTTGCACTGCAAAATAATATTAATATACAGTAGAACCCCTCAAATGCCTAACATCTAACTCAGTGCAACTATGTTGTTGCAGTACTTTAATATAATATAAGATATTAATTTTTAAGAGTAATTTATACAAACAACACTTACAAAAATTACAAAATTTACTCGAAACTGACTTCATATTTTTTAATTAAACATTGCCGTTGGATATATTTTTATTTTTCAAAAATTCTTTTTTTTTTTTTCAACGGCTTTCTACAAATGCAATATGGAAGAAAAGAAGTTTTCAATGAAGTCTGTTTTTTACAGACATCTTGAAACAAGATCGTGTACAAGTTTTCGAAAACATGAGATTTCGCGTAATTTTAGGTGAAATTGTGAAATTTATGCAATTTTTAAACAATTATTTTTCAGAAACGTATTTAAACTTGGAGACAACAATTATCTCGTCCTCGAAATCTGCATCGAAGCACATGCCCATGAATTAACTTTCAGGGTCACAATGTTTTGAAAGACATTTTTTTTTTCTTTTAAATTAATGATTCGGTAGTGGCTCAGATGGAATATATGTTTCAAGATATTGAAAACTTTCATTTTTATTGAATTTATTGACAAAAAGCAATTTACCACATACAAAGCGTTCTTTCGTTCAGAAAGAATTCCCAATTAAGTAATATCCATTCTTAGAAAGTGAACAGCTTCAAAATGAACTGGCGAATGTATATATTGATAATGCAAAATACATGCCTGCAGATTTGATGCCAGAGTACGGTTTTTGTGAACAAATTGGTCTAGAAACAATTTATCAAGAGACGGTAAGGTTGATGCAACTCAGTCTTTCTTTAATTAACTTTACAGAAACGACAACTTTAAAAAACAATTTTTTTGCTGATCGAAAAAACCGATGAATGGAGCTAATTTACAAAAAAAAATGTAAGATAAAATTTTCAGAAGACCCAACTGCATGACTACCTTCATTATTGATTTGAAGTGAAAAAAATGCTGGTTGGTAACATTTGCGGGCATTTGCATATATACTCTCTGACTTAACAGGACACACACTTAACAATGAAATTAACTTGATGAACAGTCTAAGTAAAGAAAAAGAATTTTAAATATAATTTTGTTATTTGCTGTGTTAAACGAAAGTTTTCGTAATTTTCGTATAAGATTTGAATTAATATTGTTCTTACTTAAAAAAATTACTAACCAAAAACACAATATGATAAATACACTCAACAGAAAATTTTCACAAGGTATCTTTACTCACTTGTGTTACAGTAGTAGTAACATGACGTGGTCTGGTGCCTGGTTCAACACATGGAATATATTTGGAACGAATTTCACCTTCACGTATTGGTACCACATTGACATATCCACCATGAATAACCCCGATGGCAAAACTTTGTGAACTTTTGCCCAAAGTCTGAATTGCCAAATTATTTGGAACTGCTGATGCTGTTGTGACTAAAAGCAGTTTATTTGCTTTATCATACATTGTTTTTCCTAGAAAAGAATACATTATGTAGTAATCAAATTGAAATGTGTTTATATTTTACAATATTTCATTTGATTTCATGGAGACTTCTCAGTTCAAATTTAAAAGTTTGTAATATTTTAATGATTCACTGGATTTTCCTCCATTATTAGCTTTTTGACAAATAAATGTCCTTATAAAATACTCTTTTCGTCTTCTTACACATAATCAAAACCGAAGTTGATGTATCATCAATTATAGTATTAAGGGATGAACCTAATCAGACTTGAAATACCATAAATTCTTTTTTTTTAAATATAGGGATTGATTGTAAAAAAATCACAAATAAGGCAATTATTACTTCACTAGGATTGTTTATATTTCACTTTCTAAACTACCATTGTGAATATCAGCACCTCTGATCCCCCTTAATTCATTCCAAACAGAGAATACACTGGAAATAGAGTAGTAAAATGAGGAAAAATAATAAAATACACAATTTTGTCACTATTTAATAAGCCACTGTACCATAGTTTGATATTACATCAAATTTGCAATAATTTGAACCAATTATAATTTTGCTAGTCATTACTTCATAATATTTGTATTAAAATTAACTTGTCCCTGTCCTCTTTTACCCACACCAGTTCCTTCTCCTACCTCTACACCTCACCTGCCCACTCCACTTCTTCCAACCACTTCCACACCTTTTTTATCCTCTCCAGCCTCTCACCTACTTCCACACTTCCTACTCCTCATCCCATCCATACATTCAACTTCCATTGCAACCAAAAACCCACTCCTGTGTATAACCTGTAGCATCAAACATCGGCAGGAAAGCAGACAACACACAGAAGTAAAAACTATTTTCACATTCTTCACTAAAATGTACAGTCACTGAAAAATAAACTTACTGATATAGAAATATTACTTGAGGAGAAATTCAACCACATTTCAATATTGTGCTTCACAGAACACTGGCTGACTAAAGATAACACATATACACCAGGTTCCTCTCTAGCCAGCAGCTCATGTCAAAATATTAACAATGCACATCATGCATATGGTGGGACATGTATTTTTATTAAAGATACTATTAGTTTTGTACCCTACACCTATAACACTCATATAAAAGAGAAAGAGTATTAAATATCTATCACTGACTTAACTACAATAAAAACTTATGCACATATGGGAATTTGAAAATCTTTTTAAAAAATCTGGAAGTTATTCTTACAAAACTTTAAAAACTCAGATAGTACAAAAGTATTCTTTGCGGTGGCTTCAATATAAATTTCCTCACACAATCCAGTAATGAAAATCTATTTAAAGACCTACTAAAATCATACAATTTACAAACAAACATAAATACACCAACCCGAATATCCAAATACCAGCTGCTATAGATTGAATAATAATAGATCCAAATAACCATTGTTTTTCTGTTGCTACATTTAATACAGGTTTCAGTGACCACACTGCTCAGATTCTAACACTTCAAACAAAAACAAAAATCACAGAACACACAACTTACAATGAAATATGTAACTATTCCCAAGGAAACATAATAAAATTTCAAAACTTACTCAGATTCAAAAACTGGAATGAAGTATATAAGACAACTAATACAAATGATAAGTTTAATTAATTCTTAAATATATACTTAAGACATTTCAATGCCATTCAAAAACTCAAAATGATGCAAAATAAGAAAACTAAGTCGTGGATTATCATAGACATCAAAGTGTCATGGAAAAGAAATCATAAAATGTATAAAATACTAAAAAATAACAAATGTAACTCAAACTTCTTTTCATATTACAAAAAATATAATTCGATCCTACAAAAAGTAATCAAATAAGCAAAAATGATAACAAATGATAAGTACATTGCAAACGCATGTAATAAAACAAAAGCTCTGTGGGGCATTATTAAAAAGACTAAGCACCAACTAATAAAAACAGACAAAATATAGAGCTCCACAACAAAAACAAAACTACAAGACCCACAAGAAATAGCTGATATATTCAATGAACACTTTGTCACAAATTAGTAAAAAGTTAATCTCTCAACACACTCTAAACAATAAAACACACCAACCAAACACTGTTACACAAATTGTAAATTCCATATTTTTATATGAATCCACTCCCTCTGAAATTTTTAAAAGCATTGGATAAATGGAAAATAAAGTCTCAGCAGGCTTGGACAACATTCCAAATGCTCTTATCAAACAGTGCTCCATGTATAGTGCAACCACTCTCTCATATCTGCAATTACTCTCTAACAACAGGCATATTCCCAGATAAATTCAAAATTGCAAAAATTAAACCAATGTTTAAAAAGGTTTAATAGTTATGATCCAATGAACTACAGACCTATCTCCCTGTTATCAGGATTTTCAAATATCTGGAAAGGCTTTTGAGGAAATTTCTGATAAATTCCCAATTCCAAAGATGGAATTTTTCGGGAAATTTCCAATGCACAAGTGGTATTTAATAAGACTATTCCATGAGTGAATTTATCTCCAAAAAAGTTTCAGAATGATCCAAATATTAATTACCTTACATTTGTCTTCCAAGTGCACATAACTGCATACTATGATTGATGTATTGTATCTTGTGATTGGCCAAAGGGAAGGGATAATCAGTTAAAGTTATAACTTGTTGAGATACATCATCTGATTGATATACAGTTCGAATGACTTTAATAAAAATCAATTAAATTGAACTAATTAGTAGAAATTATTTGACTAATAAATATAATTTTCAAATAGTATTACAACAAATCTCAAGACTACACATGTCTATCAAGATTACTATCATAGATATTACCACTTGAGCATTGAAAATTTCTGATAAATTCCCAATTCCAAAGAGGAAATTTATCGGAAAATTTCCAATGCACCAAATGGTTCAATGATATTGGTGTTAATTTCATAAGTGGAAAATTAATTAACATACAATATTCAAATGAACTTTTACCCATGCTCACATTAATAACTCGTTTGTTCTTAATTTGTTTGTTGTTTTTGTTTGTTTTTATATTGTTATGTCAGGAGTTTTGTAATTAATTTCTTTAAGTTCATTTTAATTAATATCCCGGCAAACTTGAGTTACACTTACAAAAACCAACTTTTATTATATCCAGATATTAACCTAATTTTCAAATTATAATTCTGTTAAAAGAAAAAAAATTAATAATAATTTCTCTTTTTTGGGAACTTGATGCTTTAAATATCACTTTAAAAATATATTTACATTATAGTCATTATAGTTTTTCTTACTGGAGTTATAATTCATATAATATCTGAAAAATGAAAGTATTATCTTAAGTGTCTGTAAACGTTCCAAAATGCCTTTGAATCCATATCATGAGCTTACCAAATAAATTGACTGACTTTTTTTGCCAGATGACATCATTCATTTATTTGAAAATTATCTTAAACTATTATATGTATAGTTCTAAATTAAAAATTAAAGGTTCTCCTTTGCAATTGCACCCAGTGCAATGTGACTCAAGGAGGAGGTGAAGGTAGGGCTCCACCTATTTATCGCTGTAAGCACAAGAGGAGGTTGTATGGAGAAGCACAACACTCCTGCCACCTTTACCTAAGAAAAGATCCTGGTAGTCACTTGGAAAGGACACGTAGTCAAACACAGAGCCGCACTGAATGGAAATAACTGAATAAAAATTAAGATGTATATCGAGATTCAAACCCAGGTCATTCAAGTCAGAAAGAGACACCATGGCTCTCTAAATCAAAAACAGAGTAATCTAAACACTGAATGGAAATCCCAATACTTAGATTATACAATGAAACACATTTCAGATTGTAAGAGTTTTAATTTATTATCCATTAACTTAGTTTCAATTTTATTATTACTATGTTTTTAACTTAGAGCTACATGGATCATAAGATAAGTAAGATAGATTTAAGATAAGTTTTAAATAAACTATTTGTGTCATCTGTCTCACGGTCATAAATTTGTAATATAATCAAACAGTGTCACACGCAGGGAGGGGGGCCCATGGTGCTTCAGCCTCCACTCCATTCCAATCAGGAGGGGAAATCCTGGGTGTAGCTTGGTCTGCTACAATTTATACAGCAGAATTTTAATTGATTCATTACAGAAAGCCACAAATTATTCAAATTATTTTAAATTACAGTGTACACCTTATCTGTTGCACACAATCTACCACTTCACAGAGTTAGTTTTAGTTGTTACACATGCAAAAAAGATTATGGTAATGATGAGTTAGTGTGCATTATATTTTACCAAGTTTGACTTTAAATAACCACAAAATCTTAATTTTTCAAGCTAGAGTTTTCTTATTTTTTCTACACATTCTTGTGATGATTATATTTCGATTTATTCAGTCAAATTCATGCTTTACTCAAATCCACTTTCTTTTAAATATTTCAGAACAGTAATGCCTGATTGGCATTTGTACCTGCCTGAAAGGGTAATTGCTTAAAAGGTTCCTGAAGGTCTGAATATTCAAGAAATATATATGCACTTGTGACATCAGTTTGTTTTCAGGCATTTATATAACTGTTCAAATCATTAAAAAAGTTAAAAATTGCCTGAAAAACACCTTTTACCTTTTAATGTCCTTAGAGTCCAAGATTAAGAGAGTGAATGAGATACTTTATGTAATAAAATAACATGTTGAAGAAATAATTTTTATTGCATCAAAACCGTTTTTATAAAATATTTACTCAAGTTTACTTAAGTCAATATAATTCTTAATATTTGTTATAAAGCAATATTTTTTGAAAACTCAAACCTGGTGCTTTATGAATCTCAATAAAGTTCAGGAACTAAGTAGATGCAGTTTAATCAACAGGCTGAAACTAAAATCTTTAAGTTTCACCTAAACTCTTGTGATTGATTCATGTAAGATCAGTGTTTACAATTTAAAACTCAATAAATGGCAGTTCTTACCTGTTTATTGTTTTGATTAAATGGAGGGACTTCACACTTACCCCACATTAACTTACTTACTTCAGTTACAGAAGACTTCTTTCTCTTTGGGCTTTTTAAGCATACCTATTTAGTATCAACTTTACCGCAATGCAGTAGACATTACCATTATTAATTTTTTTGTTATGTTATTGCTATTATCATTTTTCTTATTATTATAATTGTTGTTATTGCTATTATTATTATTATTATTATTATTATTATTATTATTATTATTATTATTATTATTATTACTATTACTATTATTATGCAAAATTTGTTTGGGATATAATTTTCACTTCTGTTACATTCTTTAAATTATGAACCCCAATTTAACAATTTTTTATACAATTATATTTGTTAAGCCAGTGATGTTTTCATCACATTATTTAATGCATTTTAACACTAAAATTAAAGTAAGGCTTGTTTTCACTGAAGAATAACATTTTCATTTATTTGAAATTTAAAACTATACAAAATCTACCCTTTCAATGAATTGCTGTACAGATCATTAACTTACCTCTCAGTTATGATGTCTTACTAAGTTGAACACTGTTCACATTGTTTCTCCCTTTTCTCTTGTTGAACGTACGTTCCCATGGAGTTCCTTTTTTTACTAACAGATGACTGTGCACTGTGACTAAATCAATAAATTGAGTGGAAGGTTACTCTGTTTTTCCATGTTCTATGAACATGTGAATTATTAACATATGCATTGATTACAATAATATGTTATTTCAATAGAATTTATTGCTACCTGGAAAGAGTTTCGATTGTTTTTGACGAAACTGACAATTAGCAAATCCAAAATTCCCGCTTTTGGAGCAGTGTACGAGAGCCCATCTGTGCCAATGTTGTCTAAACCAAACTACGAACCACAAGAAAAAATAGATATATAAACGTTTGAATGATTATATATTATAAAAAAGATATTTTTATTGAAATAATAGTAAAACATTGGCGAGACTTGTCTGCAATTTGTTTATAAGAATATTATGAGTTATTGTCCAATTTAAATATAGTGACTCACTACGGTCGAAGCCGGAAGGTGAAGATGGAAAGAACAGTTTAATCCAATGGAAAGCTTCAATAGAGAAGTCCACAATGACGTCTCGTTTGGCGGAAAAGTATTGGGTGGCAACCTTTTCTGAGCCAATTATTTTCTATATAGTTCTGTATGGAACTATTCTCAAATAGCGAGAGTTTCCCCTCCTATTACATATTCATGCATGGTTATACGGCATGGAGGAATATATTTCTCCGTATGTACGGCATGAGGGGAGAAGATCCTACTGTAGAATGCCATCTATTGTCAATTACTGGATGAACCTCGGCAACCAGCACCATACTCTCTGATATGCTCTCTCATATACTCTCTGACCAGCACCTGCTGGGCGCCCACACGCGCATGTATCATGGGTCAGATCAGAGGAAGAAGCACGTTGTACTATATCACACCCGTGGCAGCACCATGGGCTGACAGAAACTAAATAAACAAAGAATTAGTATATTCATCAGTGAAGAAAACTTGCCTAGGGGAAAGTGTACTTTTCTTGCACTCCCTTCACGTGATTCGTGTGTTAACAGTCAGCTGTCCAATACTGTTCTTAGCTTATTTCCAAGAATTGTTAGTTTTTCAGTGACATTTAATAAAAAGGACTAAAGTATTGACTTAACCTTAAAAGAGCTACTGGAAGAGTTATACCAAAAACTAAAGTGTATTTGGTTATACCAGTATAGTATTTGGTTATATCACAAACGATACCACAAAATTAACTAATTTCGTTTATATCTGCATTATATCTAATTTGAGTTATGTTTCATTTAATGTAAAATAATTTTCATTACTTCTTTGTTCCTCTCAAGAATCGTGCAGTGCACAAGACGCCATTGCATCTTTTTCACCAACTTGTAAACATTTCCAGACACGTCAGCAACAGAACATGTATATTCAAATCAATTTCTCATCACTCCTTACATTACACATTTCTTGCTAAAGTATGAAGGCATATAACGCAGAATTGTGGGTACTTCATTATAGATCAATGTTCAGCTATTGGCAGGGAATTATTGCGTATTCCCAAATTGATCTCTAGAGATATCTGTTTTTAATACATTTCTCTTTGCATACACCACAGAATGTTTATGTGGCACAAAGTCCTTCTTCCTAATATTTCTAAACCATTCTGTCTTTTTCTCATCTAAAAACGAATATCTATTCTTTCCCTCGCAAATTTTTGAAGGTTGTTGCGAAGTCTGTTCATCTAAACTACATTAGCTCCAAAACTGAACGCAAATTTTTCGAAAATCCTAATCGAACTGACAAATCTCAATGGGTGTGAACCTAGAAACAAATTTTTTAATTCTGAGGGAGCATTATATGAAAGCCCTAAAACATTTTTAAAATTTTCTCAGAACAGCTCCGAATTTTTTCTTAAAATATTTAAGATATGAATTTTCTAAGGGCAAACGTGGTCAACCGATGAACAAACGATTCCACATAACAAAATTGAATTTTTCAATTATTTGTGGTTCCATATTTTTTTGAAAAATTATTTGGACTCTTCCGTTAGTAGTAGGTTAAACAAATATTTGAAGGTGGGTAAGGGGTTCAGATGATGGTAGAGAAACGAATGCGGATTAAAGCTTTTGTAATTTGGATTAGTTTGTTGCTAATTTCGCGATTTTGAGGAATGGCGATAAAGAAGTTTTTGGGCTATACATTTTTAACCGTAACTGGTAAGAATGTTCTAAAGGATGAGCAAACGCGGTCAAACGATGAAGAAACGAATCCGCTTCAAAAATTTCATTTTTCAATTTTCTGAGACCAGCTTCAGGCCTTTTGGGTTGAGTGGAATACATTTTCCAGGATTATCTAACAGGGGAAACGAGGTTAAATTAATTTGATTAGTGATTAATATTAATAGCGATCAATCGACGGACAAACGAAAGTGTACTTCAAATTTTGATTTTTTTAAATATTTTAGGCAAATCTTATATTTTCATAAAAGTGGCCAGAAAATTTGTTTAGTTGGCTTTAAAATAGTGTTTTTTCTCCAATTTGAGTGATGAAGCTCGTAAACATTTTCTTAACTTTGAGCAAACGTTGGACCAAACAATACACATAAAATTGAAAATTTCAAGGGCAACGTCACAAGGATCAAGTTCTCAGTTTTCCTCTGCAATTTCACAGACCTTTATGATCTGAGCTCGGCATTTGACAAACTATTTCAATGGATCCATCAAAACAAACGTGTCATAAACATAAAAAACAATCACAATTCCCGTGCACAACTCCTATTCAGCACAACAATACTCTCCAAATTTGACATTAGTATCACACAAGCACAGAAAACAAAAGGAATCACGACACAAACCAACCTCAAGTAGAACTCACATCTAGAAGATAATCATTCAAAATTGAGCTAACTTAATTATGCTCTTAGAATAATAACAAGAAAAATCACCATTGAAACTGTTCGAAGAGTGTACTTCGCTAATGATCACACTATTCTCAAATACAGAATATTTTGTACGTCCTGATGGTAAACATCAACCAAGTTTCGCTTTAGTACGAAAATGAAAGCTATTTTATGTGATTTACATTTGACCCTATTATCACACGAATTAAAGAAGCAGTTTCGAGTCAATGTGAAAACTTTTAAATTTATTTCACCCTCCGAAATAACGTTTTCAACGCGAAACGACATCCGCCGCTCACCGCCCTGTCAAATTGGCCGCCCTCTGGTGCCAGAAATACTCGTCATACGCCATATATCACGCGTCATATATACTCTCTGTCATGAGCAGCGCTGTACGCGTCTTTGACAAGTACGCGATATCTGCACAGTATAATACCACAGTTATACTGTGATATCTGTGACAAAGCCTCAAAAAGTTTCACAGTGAGCTATAAACTCTCTGGTTTACATTGACAGGTGGAGCACAGCACCAGAGAGTAGAGATATGGTAGAGATATATCTCTCCCACGCACAGCACCACAGCACAGCACTCTGGGGATCTGTTTGTGTTTGTCAGGCACTGTCGCAGCCGTAACATTAACGGGGAGTTCGTGCAACTATTTTGAGCATCTTATCTGTACTTGTTGATGCTGTCATTGTTACATGAACTGCCAAAGTTCGACCTACTGTAAACTGAAAAAGAGCCGAAATTTAAGTTCTGAAGCGCGAGAACATGCTAGCCGTTGCGTTTTTTGACATTTTCGCGCTGTAAATCTATAGCATTCGTTTCTATGGATTATTTTAATTTTTGCCATTTCTGCCTTAATCCTCAGGTTTCATCTTCGGCAGTAAGTGCGGAAGGACATGAAATAACAAACTTGATTTCAAATGACGTTAGTAAGAGAGAGAAGGGTTTCATGGTTTACCGCACCATAAATCCTCCTGTTGATGTGACTTTCACCTTCATGTGCAAAATCAATATTAGCCACATTATCATATGGCCTCAAGTGGGCAATCAAAAATCCAGTGGCTTCCAAGTATCAACTTGTAATAAAAAATCAAGTTCAACACATAGCTTTGTGAATGTTGGGACAGGATTTTTGAAGAATGAACCAGGGATTATTTTTCATCATGCTTATGAACCAATGAATAGCATTACTAGCAACTTCTTACGCCGTAGACTGATTACAAGGCAAAATTCTCTTAATGCTGTTTATGCAGTTCAAATAAAAATAATGAAAACTAATCAGTCATCTGTTCCAGCTATACTGAAGGTGGAAGTGTGGGGTTTGCCAAGTGTATCATGTCCCAAAGAAGTAAGAATGAAAGTGCTAGATTTATGGACTAATAAGGACAAAAAAGTTGATATCAGGAAAGAACAAAAGAAGCCTGAAGAATGCAAATTAAGATCTACTGCTGCAGCATTAGTTAACCAAGATTTTGAAATTCCAGAAGATTTTCTGGATCCAATCACTTGTGAAATCATGGTTTTACCATTCATTTTACCATCTGGTAAAGTTGTGGATCAAAGAACTCTTGAAAAACATGAAAACCATGAAGCAAATTGGGGTCGAAGACCTAGTGATCCATTTACTGGAAAACTTTATACTGATACATCAAAACCAGTTCTCGCAGTTGCTTTAAAAGCTAGAATAGATAAGTTTCTTATTGATCATGCTGATGTAGATGAATTGAAAAAAATCCCAAGAACTGTAGGAAGGAAATTTAAGAGTAGTTCCAGTATCCAAGGAAATGATGAGGTAATTGCAAAAGATGATTCACAAATTGAGCAGAATTTAGTGAAAACATCTATTAAAAAGGCTTGTGAGCAAATTGTTAATATTGGAAACGAACAACAAAGATTATCAATTAACAAGCAAAAAAGAACCTGTGAATTTTCAGAGCCAACGAGTAAGAAATTTAAACTTGAATCTGTAAGTTCTTTGAATGAAAGTATGCCAAACATTTGTAGTAGCAGTAGCAGTTGCAGTGTTAGTGGTAGTTTCAGGAATGATCCAGTTTCTTCAGAAAGTGGACCAAAGCGTACTCATGAAGAATTGCTAAATGACTCCCTTGATGCAGCCTTGAAGAGTGCTTTGTCAGGTCTTCCATCATTTACCAATTTTACTTGTAGAAATCAGAAAGTAGAAAAGAAGTGTTCATTGTGTGATGAGAAAGAAGTTCTGTATATACTTCCTTGTCAGCATCTCTTATGCAGAATGTGCCTTATGAAAAAGACTAATAATAAAGACTGTAAGTGTTTTTGTAATTTACCTTTCAATTCTGCTGATCCCAAGCGTTATTTTTCATAATAAATAAATTTAGGTTATTGGTTTTATAATTTGATTGTGTTCAGTCTATTTTTTAAAATGTGTTGTTTGAACATAGAAAGGTGGTTTTGGAAATGTATATATTGTTGCCTTATACCTTCAAAGCACTCCATAAAAAAAATTCTTTGTACTGAAGTACTATTAATTAATTAATTTATTTATTTATTTGTAATGGAAATGTGTAATATGTGCACTATTAAAATATACTTGTTCTTGTTGTAATGAATATGTTTACATTTCCTAAAATGTTCTAATCTTTTATTTGAGAAAAAAGCTTCTCAGTATAATACTTAGTAATACAGATGTATTTGTGGTTGAAGTAGTCCTTGTGGTGAAAACTATTTGATAACATTTTTTTTATTTTACTTTGAATGCCTGACTAAGTGCAAGTGGAGCACTTTTGAATAATGCTTTGTGTTGTGTAATGGAACGTTGATGGGTCCAGTGTACCGTAAGCATATGTAATTTGTTAGCAGTAACTTTTTAATATTCAGGAGCAACCATTTGCACAGACATTTTAATTTGATAAAGTACCACCCAAGATTTGAAATTAAAACATATAACATAGAAAATATAGCTGTTTCAACATCAGATTATTTCCCAATGTTTTGACTTGAGAATGTGTTTTGTTGTAGTTTTTTTGATTACTGATCATAAATCCACTGTCGAAAAATTGTTTTGATTTTTGGCAACCTTCATTATATGTAACAATTTTTTTTAAATGTCTTTGAAATTGATCCAGGATTTTTTCTGTCTTGCCATGCTCCTCAAAGATATTTCACAGCTCAAAATCTAAGACAAGTATACTAGCGGTGACAGCAAACTGTTGATTTTGGAAAGGTGTGAGAAGAGATAACTATACAATGAGCATTTGTCAGGTCTGATGAAAAACAGGTTATACATGTCATTTTAACTTTATTTGTATTTTCTGTTATTTTGGTAAGGTAAATTCTTATCTGTAAAATTAGTTAATAGAAATAAGAAAATATGAAAAGGGGTTATTTTGACTTGCATTTTTAAAATCTAACTTGATTATTATGATCGAGATGAGTTGTTTTTTTCCAAATGTTTTTCTATTTAAACCAATTGTTCCAAGATTTATTTGTAATTGGCTTTGTCCAAGGGTTCATGTCTGAGTGAAGACCAAGAACTGCAGCATTTTTGACTTCGAATATACAATAACACTTTTCCAGAAGCAAAGAAACATACTAAACTAACTGTTGGAATAATTTGAAAATAACTTTTGTTTATATCCTCATGACAGAAAGTAGAACTATGAAAATAATCATAATTATTTGAACATCTGGGAGTGGCACGTTCAGGACCCTTACAGTGACTGATGTTGTATGTGCTGAATGTGTTTTGTATTCTGGGGTGTATGAGATATACACTCTTCTGAAGCATTTATTTGTTTTATTTGTGCATTAAAAAAAATATAGTTTCAAAAAAGGAACTTCACACATCTTACTCTTAATGGATCCTAACATGTTGAAGTAAATGTGTGTATTTGATCGCTTTGCGAGACTAAGAATGTTGTTAATTGGATGTGATGTAATTTTTGTATCTATATCCACTGAAACAATTCTCTGCCATTATTAATGGGTAGCTTTTTCATTGTATTTCAGAATAAACAGAATTTCATTCAATTTTTTTTTTATTATTTCCTATGTGTTGATTGTAATATCAAAACTGACGAGATTTGTGAGAAATATTTATTCTACGTATCTAGTATGGCAGGTATGTATTTCATTTAAGTTAATAGATAAATTAGTAATTTATCTAATCATTTGTCTAATGATAACAGATGTGTTGTCAAAGAGGATGGATCATTTAATGAAACATCCATAATTTTGTTAGAAAACAACCTCCAAATAAACTTTAGAGAGAATCTGAATTACTAAGAAAGTTTTGCTTTAAAAGGTGTTTTTTTCATTTAATGCGTTCCTGAACAAATCCTTTTATTTTAATAAATAAGCATTTTAAGTAAACAATTTGACGTATTTTTCATCACTAAAATGTAACGGTTTCAGGAACAGAATGAGCATGTCATTTTAAGACATTGAATATATCTTCCTGCAAAGATTTCCAGTGCTTAATTACTATATATAATAATAATAATAATCATATTTATTAAGTCACATGTACAAATTCAAATGTCTTCAAGTTCCAGAATCTCTACTCTCTCTTACTACTCACTGTTATGAGTGAAGGTAGAAGTTTACTTCTTTGTGATAGAACTACATGGGCAAACGACCTTCAGATTTGATTTTGAATATACTGTTGATAGATAACTAAACCTCCACTCCTCTTATGCCTTGTGAAAGAGAGCTCAAGAAAACTTGGGAGAGAGGTTACATTTGCTGTCCAGAAATCAAAGCAAGGGGGCCATCTCAGCATTTACTCAAAGGATCAAGGGAAATTAGACGAAAACTTGATCATGATGGTGGCATTTACCTCAAAGTTTAATTACAATACTTGTTACTGTTTTTGTTAGACAAGTTAATATTTTCATTTTTTTAAATTTGCCTAGTATTGTATTTTACTACCACTGTAAAGAATACTTTTCTTTGAGAATATGATTTAACAGTATGTAAATCATAATGCCTAATACATAACAATACAGTGTGAAGAAAATACAATATTGGTGTGGCATTCTGTTTGTACATCAGTCATACTAAAATTTGACGAAGAATAGCCAGTTCTTTACTTCAGATCGAAAGTCAACTTGAACTACAAAGTCAAATGGGATGAGAATTTTCATTTATTTATTTTCTAAGGGAAGTAGTGTTGTGATTTGTCTATTCCTACACACCAAAACATGTTGAGCAGTATGTTTTCAATTGATTTATAAATGTATGGATGGTGTTTATGTCTTTAATATCTTGACCCAGTTTGTTGTGAAGTGTAATGCCCTCTATTGGGGCTCTAATTTCATTAAATGTAGTTTCAGAGTGAAAAACGTGTACATTATCCTTTTGACGAGTGTTCAAGTTCTGTGCATTAGAATTTAGAGTAAAAGTGCCTTTGTGTTCCATGAGAATCTTCATAGTGAAGACAGCTATTTCAAATATATATATGCATGGTAGAGCAAGAATGCTTCGCTATTTGAACAAGGGTTTGTAAGACTGTAGCTTATGAGTACTGGTCATGGTTCACAGTATTCTTTGTTGGATAATAAATGTGCAAGATCTTTCAGGGACATTCTCCCTGAATATTTTTGCATATTTTAGATGTGAGTACACATTTGCCAAATTGTCTGAAGGGTCTCATTGTTGGAGCTCGACTTGAGAGGATAGGCAAGATTTTTTTAGCTTCTACTTCTGAGCATTCCACTTTAGATTTTCAGATTAAGGAAGGTTAGTTTCGTGAGATATTGTTACAGGATTATTATTTATGAGCAATTGCTGTGGGAACTTTTCTTCGATTGGGGATTCATTAAATTCAGAGAGACACTCTATTTCTAGAGAGACTTTATTGTAAAAAAAGTTGTCTTGTAAACATTTCATTAGCATGTGCAAGGTTTTGAGATTTTCTTTTTTCATTGATTGTTGTGTTTTTGCTTTGTTAAAAATGATAAATAAATAAAGATATTGTCAGGTATCAATATTTTAATTCAACTCATGATCATTTCGATCGCGTAGCGATCATCCTAAGAGCTTGCAGCTTCTGGGCCGAAAACAACTTTGTTTTGTTGCAAAATACATACGTATTTAAAGTACTTATATATATTTTGTATTTCAAATACAGTAAATAAAATAATTTTTGTATCACATCATTTTCCAATAATATATTTTAATTGTCAATTACAATAAATTAGTAATTGACCGAGTGAAGTGACTCAGTGTGTAGGATACTGGATTCACAATTGGACAGAACAGTAATTCACTGGTGGGGATAAACATAAACTAGTGTTATAACAATAAATGCTTTTTTATTTATTGGACAATTGTCCAGCATTTTTAATATTTCACATTTATTACTTAAAAATGAAGTGAACAGCTGAAAGGGGGTTTTGTTTTTGTTTCAGTGTGGTGTGTGCACTAGGGTCATTTAACAGTCCTTGTTATTTTCTTCTTCGTCTGTATGTTAAGTATTTCTTTTTTTTTTTTATTTCACCTATTTTGTTTTTAAATACATCTCCCAAGAACTCAAAAATAGTTTTTCAAATACAAAATGTATTTAAAATACATATTTCAAATACATATATAGATATATTGTATGCATTGCGTTTGTATCTATTCTTCCAAGTTATGTGAGCCCAGCCACCAGAGTTTTGAATCACCTTTTCCAGTCTACGGATCTTATTTTAACATAATTTACGTCCATAGGCTTTCTGCAGGTCATCATTGAGTTTAGCAAGTGCAATGGGTGCCTGTTCCTTGTTCTTGTTTCATGTGTAATATAAGTTTTTAATTACTTTCTTAATTTAAAGAGGGTTTCTAATAATTATCAAAAGTGTTTGTAAGAGTGTAGTTTTGAAAAGTATTTGTTTTAAGGCCACACAATGTTTTTGTGTACAAATATTCATAGCACATTATGTTGTATTATACCTTTCACTAAAGACAAATGAAACATGCATGGATGCTTACCTATCCTTGTACGAAGTAATTACCATAAAGTGATTAGATGAGAACTATGAAGAGACTTAATTATGCACTAAAAGATTACTCTCCTCATGCTACTTCACACTATGCATAGCCAATAAAGTGATAAAAAACACAAACATGCTAAGAAACATGCAATAAACATTTCTCAGAAATTGGAGAAAATTTAATTCATCACAACTTCAAATAATATAAATATGCAATAAAACACCGAAAGCAAACTCCATGTACTATTTTGCGGAAACATCACCATCAGAAACACTAATAATCATAAATCAAATGAAAAACAAATTCTTTGAAGGACTGGATAAAATCCTTGATACCCTCATTAAACATACTGCAACATACATAAAAGAAAAACTTTTCAACGATAGACTCAAAAACGTTCTCAATTCAAATAACATATTTTCAGAGACATGGATTCAGAAATGGAAGATTTACAGACACAGCTATCTTCTTGCTGAAAGACATTCTTGTTGCTCTAGATCAGAAAGAAATTTCTATCGGTTTGTTTCTACAATCATCAAAAGCATTTGACATTATTGACCATCTTATAAAAACTTGGAACTTTGGGAATGATCATTTCACACCAATGAGTTTAATCTAACCTTTCAAATTGTTGTCACAAACATGCATGTTAAAGATAAAAAGGTTTCAGCCCATTTTTCCCAAACTAGAATGGTAAATTATGGAGTATCTCAAGAATCAATCATAGGACCTAAATCATTTCTTTTATACATTAACAACATGCCCCTGACAAAACAAAATAGTCTTATTTGCAGATGACACATACATTATTAAAGCAAGTACCTAACAAACTACAAAAAAAGTACAAATGGTTCCAAGAAAACAAACTTATCATAAATGCTAGTAAAAAGCGCTCTCCCTAAAATTCAGGATGGTCATAACTATGATTCTAAACAAAACAAAAAAGACATGTCCCACACAGTGAAACGTCACTCTTTCAAAAACATACCCTTGTAAAAGGCATTCGATTACATTACAAACTTATTAAAATTTAAAAGCCCCAACTCTATACACACATTTAAAAATAAACTGAAAACTTTCCTACTAAACTATACATTATACAGAACAAAATAATATATACATCATGAACACGGATCTACAACAATATAAACTACTAATAACTTTGTATATTCTGCTCCATGTTTGACATCCCATAAAAACGATCGATGAACACAAAAGATGGACCCAGTCTGACTGATTTGAAAAAAAAAAAATTTTCTCTTCCCCTTTTCCTTTTTTTATGATTTTTACTTTAGTATTCGAACATTGTCACTTATAAAATTAATATATGCATTGTTTTACATTATACTCCTTTCCATTAAAAATTACTTTAAAATTTTCGGTATTGTGTTTAGATATTTGTATTTATGTATAATATTTTGTATTTTGAAAAAATATATATTGTCAATGTACGATTACAAACATATATTTTCTTGTCACATGGCTAATACTGTATTATGCACGTGACATTTTTATTATTAACAATATAGGTTTTGGAGGGGTTTACACATGGCAGCTGTGCACTCAGTGTATACATCGAGAGTTAAACACAATTTTTGCTTCCACTGATTCCTCAAATATTAAGAAAACTTCAGACTTAATTTGAACACAAAGGAACAATGAAGCAAGTTTAAAATGCCCTAAAATATATGGAGGAAGATTTAGGCAAACAATCACAGAGCCACCAGCCTAATAAACATGCATATCAAAATACACATGATGTTTGTAATTTCAAATATTAATAAAAAATTTACATTTTTACTACTTCCAAAAATTTTTCAGAGGTATGTTTAAAAGAATTTTACAACATAACACTTGAGACAACATTTATTGGGAACTAGAATATGCTGCATCTATTACAGTAAAGACACATTACATTACAATAGGAGGTAATAGTATAAGATACAAAAAGCACATATAGCTAGATAGATTGGCTAATCTTTTAAACAGCTCTTCATTAGGTAATAAAATCAAGCTGATCATTTTGTTGTTGTGATAGAGTAATATTAAATAATATACATTTGTTTACCATTTGAAAAATGAAATGATATGATATTGAAGCATTACAGAGAGCAAAATAACCAAGCTCTCCCAAAGTTGTACAGCATTAGCCAACGTTTCCCAGTATATATGTGCTATGTCTTTTTGATCATTGGAAGGAAAGATTCTGTTTCAATATATTGCATTGAGAATCTGCTTGTGTCATTGAGATCACAATTCTCTGTCTTTAATTAATAATTTGTATTGATATCCAACAGTATGTTTAAAAAAAAAAGTGATTAAAACACATTCTTATCATATCTGTATCTATTGTTCAATAAAAATGAATATGTAATCAACATGATTTTAAATTTGTACATAGTTGCACTAAAAGCCACAGAGACACATTTCAGCACAGATTGGTTGTAAACAAATATTAACTTCATGTTTATTTTACTTGCAGCACACAACTTTGCTAAAACATGAAAGGAATGCTTATGTTGTATATCATTTTCAAAAACAATATAAAAGATCATTGTTTATCTTAAAGCTTTCTTAAAAATAATATCCTAATGCACAATGAAAATAAAACTTTCAAATATGAAACAATTAACTAGAAAAAACAACAATTTTTCATTAAAACATCGAAATAAAATGATAGTGTCACTAGTTTCAAGTTCTCATCTTTGAATCCACCTTCATTTGGCACTGTTTTCTTCTTGAGAATCAGTCCTCGAGGTACACAAAAGATTTGGTAGGTAGTTTGGAAATCTTTGAGCTTTTCAGTAAAAAGTTTTTAGACCGATTCAATTTAAGTTTTCATTAAATGACATGAAAATCATTACATATTTTCTTGAGAGCTGTTGTTTTTATAAAATAGCAATACAAATATCATTGAATTTCCCTAGTTTCCCTACTTTGAACTTCAAAATAAATAGTTCACAATACTTTCAATGAAGATGACAGAAGGGAAACATATCACACTGTTAAAATATACTATTATTCTTTTGAATGCTTCAACAGGAAACTTGAAAACTAGAGCTAATGATTACTAATATTTCAGCAAGAAACAACAGTATATGGCAAATACAATACTAGATTTGCACCCCAATATCATTAAGCAAGTGCAGTTTGAATAACATCAAGAACCCATTTCACAATTCAGTTGTCATATGTGAAGTAAGTACCTGAACACGTTTAGCATTACAGCTCTTGCACAGTACATGATCATCCAGAGGATAGCAGCCACGACCTTCTGCTTCTGATGAAAGAAGGGTACCACAATCCTCACATTTATAACAATGAATATGAAAGCTTCGATCTAAAGCAACCACACGTACAGTTTCATCTTGGCCCGGCTCAGGCATAATGGGCAATTTGCACACACAACATCGTGGAGCAAATTTTCTATGAAAATCTTCAATACAATGGATTTGATTAGCAGCATCAACGGTAAAAGGAATACCATCTAGACTCTTTCCACATACAACGCAACAGAAACATTGAGGATGGTATGGTTTTCCTGTAGCACGGAGAATTCGATCTAAAATTGGCTTCATGCAAACAGAGCATTTTTCTAGTGTGTTGAGATAATCTTCTTCACAATATGGTTTCCCATCCAAAGCATAGAAAGGTTTACCTTGCAATTGGATGGCACAATGTTGGCAGGTAAAGCACTTTATATGGTAAACACGATGCATTGCAGTACAACCAGATCCTTCACCTATCACTTTTTGACCACAGGCAACACATGTTCCATAAATTTCTGAATCCCCAGATCCATCCATAGACTGAACAAGTAAATCAGTTAATGCATCAACTTCAGCTTCTTTACCCATACCACTTGAAGGCATTGTTTCTGCTCCGCTTTTATTGTGTGTACCACTAACATACGGTGCATATAATGAGTAATTTGACTGAGATGACATTTGACTGTGCGGTCTTGGATTAATTGGTTCATAAATTGATTCATATGTTGAACTTTGGGATGAACGACCTAGGAGCCCATAATCTTGTTGGTAGGTGGCTCGGCGTAGTTCTGAATAACTTGAGCTGACAGGTGACGGTGGAGGTGGTAGGTCTTCAGGAGGGGGAGGAAAATTTGACTGACAACATTGCCCGTAATCAACTGGTTCCAACGGAGGAGGAGGTAAATCTTCCAGAGCTCCGTTGTTTTCACCGAATGCTCCCACATTGCTATAAGTATTTTCCACTTCACTACCACGAGCACCAATATTACTATACATATGTTGTTCATCTTTGTGAGGAACATTACCATAAGTAGCCATTATGAAAGGCTGTCAGAGTTCTAAAAAGTCAACCTTGTATTAGGCGATGCACGAAAAATTACAACCAGGTTGAATCATACACCACACCCATTTCCTCTTAGCAACCTCTTCGTATTTTCCTCTTCGCGGGTGAATTATTAAGGTAGTAGCGAATCAGGAGGAAATCACTGTAGTTTTAGGCAATGAATTCGTTCTTCCGTTATAAATGTAAAGTTCACGCCGGTCCGGTATTGAATAGAAAATGTTATCACGAACACTAATGTATTCAGAACGTATGACACAATCGGCACTTCCTTCAGCAGGATTTCAGTAGACAGAACGTAATCGCTGACACGGCTATAATTACAAACTTAATTCCAGATATTGTGTTAATGAGAACACATTCCTCATCAATTGCAGATTACCACAAAAGTTTCCCTAACTAATATTCACCGCTATGATATCGACTGTCAATTAAACTGATGACTGTTCAATGACTGACGTACTATCTCGGTTTGACCAGTCTGACGCTCGATAGAGGACATGAGCGCGCCTATTTCAAATACCATCAAGGTTGGGGTTGGTTAAATTTGGCGACAGTATTCTACCAGGAATTTAGAATTCCGCATTGATGAAAACTGCGACGACATTGACAAAAAGTAAACCGCTGATTTGATTTTCCGGAGTTTAACCATAATAATAATAATAATAATAATAATAATAATAATAATAATAATAATAATAATAACAACAACACTTATTGTCACATATACAATTACAACCGTGTATAACGAGTCAATATGATGTCTTGGGTGGAGAGAGCGAAGTTACGCCCTTAGAATATCAGAGGGGAGTGCTTGTATTCTTTGCCCTGTAGTGAGGACGTGTCGAGCTAATTGTTTTAGCGTTGCCGGAGCTTTGTTGGTTTGAAAGGCTTGATAAGCTTCGTTAAACGAAATCCGTTTCAAGCATTGAGTGAAGAACTCGATATCAAGTTCCTAAGTTCTTTCAACCGCTTCCGAAACGGAGGGCGTGCTATGAGCCGTAACTCTTTGTTCTGTACCAGCTCAAGTGTATCCTTGTACTTCTATGCTGTGGTCCAACACGTTGCCGCAGTGTAGGTGGACACAGGTAACACTTTTATAGAGTGCCAAGCAAAGTTCCAAGGAATGTGTAGGTTCGCTTGAAAGAGGTTGTAAGAGTCGAACTCTTTGTTGTAATTTTGATCGAATTCGCTTGACATGTAAATGCCAACGCATACTTCGATCAAAAGTGACGCCGAAGTAGGTTGCCTTAGGTGCCCAAGTTAGTATTTGTGTATCAAGTGTAAATTGTTTTGGTGGTGTAAAACGTTTAGTATATTTGTGTTTGCGGCGGGTGTAACAGATGGCCTGCGACTTTCCGCTGAAAAAGTCAAATGGTTTTGTTCCGTCCACTTCAGCGTCAGGTACATCTGTGTTTGTAGTATTTTGAGTTTGTGGTCTAGGTTTATTTCTCTTGCTATGACGCCTGTGCCATGAGCATAAAGGAAGATATTATATATTCGTGGTCTATGCGGGATGTCACTGACATACAACGAGAACAGTAGCGGAGAGAAAACGGAGCCCTGTGGGTCTCAGGCCGCAATCCTCCGCTTTGAGGTTATAGCTTTGCCCACATTTACCACGAATGAACGGTTTGTGAGGAAAGATGCAACCATTTCGGTTACGTCTTGTAGAGGGCAGCGCCGAAGTTTTGTGATGAGTGTACTGTGTGGCACTTTGTCAAAGAATTGTACCATGTCGAGATATATGACATATGATATATTACATCCTTTGTAAGTACCAGATCAGCGGAAATCTACTGAGACATGCAAAGCGCTTGTAGTGAAGAGGAATGGCCCGGTCTGAAGGCATTGTTCATCTCGGGTGAGATTCCGCGAGAGAGCAGTTGGCAGAATTCGTGCGAGTAGAAGCCTCTCAAATACCTTTCCCATAACCGGGAGAAGACTGATTGGCTTGTGGCTCGCAGCAACTGTGAGATCCTTACCGGGCTTCGGAAGTGGAGATACTTGCGTATTTCCACTTTTCCGGAAAGTACCGCTGTGTAATGCAGCTATTGTAGAATCGCGGAAGCTCCGTGTTCTCTACCCGATGTGCCTCCTTAAGAATAGGAGGTCCTATTCGGTCAGGTCCCGGCGCCTTGCGACTACGCAAGCATTTAATTGTAGTCGAAATTTCTTCAACTGTACAATGTGTGTGTTAGCGCTGTCGTCCGTTTCCTCATCTTCCACCTGTGTAGTGTTGTTCAACCTCTCCTCAAGCATATCGGCGAAGAATTCTGCCTAGGCTTGATCTGAGAAGAGGTACGTTTGTTTACCTTCCGTATTGTCGTGGCCACGTATGGTGGTTGCTGTTTTAGGTACTGACATTAACGCTTGTTTGAGTGTAAAAAGACCGTTATAAAGTGATCGAAACCGATCTCTCTCAAACGTTTTCCTCACTCTGCGTGGTGGTTTGCAAGCGCCGTTTTGAGGCTTTTTCGCATTCCCGCAGCTGTGTTCTAAGCGCAGGGCACCTAAACTGCTGCCAGAGTCGCCTATCTTTGCGTTTTTCACGCAGAAGCTCTTCTACATCTGGAAGAAGTGTATGTGAACCCTCTTAGGGCGGGCCCCAGAAAGCCGGCGTCGCCTTTCTGTGGGCTGTTTGTATATGTTTTGTAAGTGTGTGTAAGCATGCGTCTATATATTCTGATGAATCCATTGTCTGCGTGGTTTGTGCTTGTGTGTATAGTGCTGCCTAGGGCCGCAGAAGGCACCAACTGCGAAGGTAATGGGAATGTGATCGGAAAGAGAAACGGGAGTGGTGACTCGAATATTTTCTGATGAGTGCCACATGGAGGATTTCGGCCGGAAGCGAGGGTCAGTGGGGACGCGGGTAGGTGAGGAGGGCGCGCGGAGTGTCACGTGTTATGTGCTAGCAGGAAACTTGTGAGTAAGTTTCCGTTTCTGTTTGTAATGACAGCCCCATTCCTTTCACTTGGCCTTCATATCTCGGTGCACAGTGGCGAAATCGTCATCTACGAGAGGACGCCTTGGTGCTAAATACATTGACAGCAGTGCAGCTTTGCCTTCCGTCGTGTTTGCCACAGTCGCTGCCGCTTCTCCGCCTCCGCCATGGCGAGTGTCGCGGTCGGTGCGGGAGAAAGCCGTGCCGTTCAGCTCCAGGGCGTCGGCGCTTATGACTTTTGTGTCCTGCAATAAAAGATCATCCATGTGATGTCTTTCAGAATAACTCGAAAACGCGTCGATCACCTGGGTCAGTGTGTCCGCAACGGCCGTTGACGTTCCAGGCAGCTAGCGCAAGAGGGTAAGTTCTGGTGTTTCCCTGTGGTCGGTGATCAGCCATTGTGGGTTGTCACATGAGCGCAGAAAGTTTATAAAAGTGTAGTAAGGTTTGTGACCTGCTGTTTCAGCTCAGAGACCTCGTTAGGGAGTTGCTGGATGCCCTTTCGCGGCCTTTGCTTCGCGCTGCTTGCGCGGGCTGTTGTGATGAGTGCGCCGCTTTCGCCAAGGTAGTGCTCTTATCTACCTTGCCTGCGGGCTGTGGTTTCGGCTTAGCATCCTTGCTCTTGGTTGCTAAGGCCTTGTAGACCTTGCAGACTGCGTGGTTGGCGGAGTGCCATTGTGGCTTGTTGCTGCAATCCTTAGTCAGATGGCCATCGCCCCAGTGAATGCAGCGGGGGCTGATGGCTGGTGGCAATAGGCACACGTGTGCGACTAGCGGAAGCACTTTTTACAGAAAGGTGCGCTGTCTGTTCGTTTCGCGACCTCGCCGCCCGGGGTGACGTTAACGAAGTAGGCACCGTCCGGCACTAATTTCCCGTTTTGACGCCTCTTCAGTTGGTCTGCAGCAGGCCTGGGTTTCCCCGAGTGCTGCGCTGCAATGTCGTCAGCAACTGGAAGAAGCGGCCCACCCACGTAGAGGCGGAGGCCCCGTTCCTCGTCACGCGCGTGCGTCAAGTGCGACGCGATCTTCGCCTGGTCGACGGCGTTCCCGATTGAAGGGAAAAGGCTTCTCCGCAGCGCTCTCCTGTGGCCGGGTGCTCGCAGCCCAGCGTTGCCGCTTCGAACCAGCGGCGAAAGCCGCCGTTATACCATTGGCGCACGTTTGCTTCAGCTCTACAATTTATTTCCAACATTTTAACTATAGAAACTTGAATGATGATGAAAAAGTCCAAAAAGAGGGTTAGCAACATTTGAAATCTAGACGTTTTAGCTCCTGAGTCACATAACACATATTGGCATCGGTAAACGAACTGCACATGTAGTTTTTTTGTATTGCTAACAAAGTATCATGGATGAATGTTAATCTACGTTAGTATCACCCCTCCGGCTCTACTCCTACCACTACTAGAAAAAGGAGAGTTCAACAAAACGTGCGCATAGAGATGCTGCATTCATGTCCAGAAGCAAAACAAGGGGCCATCTCACCATTTACTCAATGTATCAGGAAAGCCGGACAAAATCATGATCGAGATGGAGGTCATTGACACGGAAGCTGGAGTACATTACTTGTTACGTTTTTAGCGGGTTGTTTATATTATCGCAAACATGTGGAAATCTGCACACGTTTGCGGGTTTCATATGAGCGTGACAGGAAAATACTTAGATGTTTAGACGTTGAAGCTGCGAATTACGAAGATGGAGGTACCTTTAAGTGGCCACTATTGACTTGGAATAACCATCTAACTTTTGCATCAACATTTGCATCTAACAAATGCACTAATGTTCTTAGGTTGCTATAATCTTGCTTTCCTCATTTCTGAGAACGTAGAGACTCTAAAACAGCGTAGCCTCACTCCCACACCCTTGTGTTCCTGCCCACTAAACGTACACAACTTGATTATCGTGAAAATACAATTTTATTTTAGAGAAAATAATCTCACTTCGAGAAAATGTATCTACAGAAAACGAAAACGGTTTTAAACCATATTACAAAGAATAATAATCTCGTCGTACTAAAATAAAATCGACACATACCGCATTTTAAGAGCATCTTCCACGTGCCGCCCAAAGGTAGCGGTGCTCCCCTCAGAACCTCTAAAAGTGACGTGAACATAATCAACTAATCGCTTTTGGTAACCAAATGTCGCGCCAACAGTCGCGCTCGTACAGTGGCGTCTTAAAGTTACTTTCACAGTATATCTACGCATGGTGGGGAGCAGTGAGCTACAGTCAAATAGCCTCTGACATGAGTGAGCGGTGAACCAGGCGGTGAACGGCGAAGTTTATGTGCGAGTGACATGTTTCTTAGATCATGACCGTAGTTTACTGGGTTACTAGAACCACGGTGTAAGATAAACCGTGGTGGAACTAGTTCTGGGAAATGTTCACGGGATTTGGTCGGAGTAGAAAAATTAAATCATTAGTTGGCCTCATAGATATAGTATCTTAAGAAGATGCCTATGTTTCGGAATATTTGTAAAAATGCTGGTTTAATTTTTCAATAACTCATTCTGATCAAAAGCTGTGAACGACATTACCTAATTCTTCATTATTTCGTTCGCAAACGATACATCCCTACGTAACATACTACCTATTAAAAAAATTCACTTACATCATGAGATAGAGATGTTCGCAGCTGTGTTAGTGGATGCGGATGGCGATTGTCGTCTTGCTGTCACTCGCTTTCTGGCTGGTCGGTTTGGTCCATGGGTTGGCCGCTCTTCCTTGCCTTTGAGCAAACATAACCTATGGATATTGACCGACAATAGGCGTATGTCTTTATGATTGAACACAATTCACGTATTTGCGCATGGAGATAAATCTCGCTTAACAATTACGGAATACACAGGAATCATGAACGAGGACAGTGCAATAGATTCATCCCCCATTAAAAAGTATGGATGGTCGGTGAAGCTAAATCACATTTTTCCTGAAAAAAGAAGTCAAGGATTCATGCCCACCTGGCATCAGCTGTACCCTATCATTCCTCTGATTTTTCGGTAAATTTGAATGTGTTTTGGGGGGAGACCTATTGTTTACAACAAATCACTAAAAATGTCTCTTTGTCATTCAGATATTTGATATATACAATAAAATGTTACTTCAAGGGAAAAGCTCCAGTTATGGATTATGTAAAGACTATGAATGGAAAACAAATATATGGTAAGTATATGTATGGACAGTTGTTCATTTTTGGGTGATTTGCTGTATTTTTTCATACACCTTTACTTCAGGAGTACCTATCGGTGGCATTGGTTGTGGAACAATTGGAAGAGGATTTCAGGGTGAATTTTGTCGTTACCAGTTGTCCCCAGGAGTGTATTCATATAATATTGTGGCAGCAAACCAGTTCATTGTTACTATAAGAAATGAAAATGGGAAAACAATTTATCAGCAGGTCTTATCACCTCGGCCGTAAGTATTTATTGTATTTGTTAATGCTGAGTTAACAAGTTTCTGAAATAATTTCTGTTATTACCTAATTTTTCAGGCAACCCCGGCATGAACTGTCTTGTTGGAAATGGCAATTTCCAGGATGGAATGCTCAGTATCGAGCTTTGTATCCACAATCTTGGACGACTTATAAAATCTTGGAACATAACATTATTCTTACTTGTCATCAAATATCACCTGTTATTCCTCATAATTACAAGGTAGTTCATTTTTTATTTGTAAATACAGTATAAATAACTTTTGTTTGATAATATAACCGATTCTAGATACTGATGGTTGTTAATTTAACATCCCAAACATATCAAGGACTTTTAAAGTTCTCAGGAGAATGCTAATTACATTCAAATTTTGAGCAAAGATTCAATAGAAAGTTGGTATGTTGCTTATATTATAGAAGTAAATAAAATTAGTGCATTTTTCCAATTTCAATGAAAAAGTAATTAACATTTGCAAATGTTGAAGTGAAAATGCTAAACTAATTAATATCCAACGAAAATACCTTCTTGTTTACATTCAAAATTTAAAATGGATTAAAATGATCATGCACTAGTTGTTTAACAGTGCAGATTTTAAAATTAAAATGCATCTGAATTGGGGTTTTGCAGATTTGTATTGCAAATACGCACAAACCACCAACTCCCTGAAAGAGAGAATACCTAATTACCGAGAAAAATAGTTGTGAATGGAAATTTAAATAAATGAAGTGTGCAAAGCCAATTAATGAATATTCTTTCCAACATTTATAATAAAGTTTTGAGTAATTAATCCAGCTTAGATTTTAAACATTGTTGAGCCTTTTGTGTGTGTGTGTGTGTGTGTGTGTGTGTGTGTGTGTCAATGTGAATGTGAATGAGTAAACTTCGGTTGTTTTTCATTTAGGTGTATGTGCTTCAGATGTCCAATTAAAAACATATTTAGTAAAAGAAACAATAACAAGAAATAATTCAGGCGAAATTGTTCAACATATTTATTACTGTTTTTGGCATTATAGAAAATTTATTTTTCAAAATTATATTTTACTATTATGTAGCTCTTACTATATATAGTATATTAGATTATAATTTCATCCAAATGGTCATTACATATGACATAGGTTAAATGATTTTTATATACTACAATATAATAAAGAACAAAACATACACTATAGAAACATTTAACAGCATACAAACAAACTTCTTAAGATTGTTTTAAATTGGTTGTCACAATATAATTCTATTTAGTTGTTATTTAGTCCCTTATTTTAAATTATGGATAATTACAATGTTTTAATGTTTTTACTGTAAAACTGTTATGTGGCTTGACTGCTCTCCACTCCTTATTATAAAATTCAGGTATGTTTGTGTATAATTTGTAGATATTTTATATATTACTTGTAGTTTTCTGGTTTTAACAGTTGTACCTGATGAGGGAGACAACGGTCTCCAAAACGTTGTGAGAATAGTACACAAGTAAATAAAATTATGTGAATTTTTGTTGCTGTTTTTATTGTGGTTGTCCATAATTTAAAATAAGGGACTAAACAACAAATAAATACAAACAAACTTGACATAAGCAACCCGTCAACCCACTCTTTTCCATTAATACTCCTTCAAAAATCTTCTCAAGGACAACCAATGTATGTACAATAATTACTAGAGACAGGATTTTCATGACGATGCATGTTTTTATTTAAGCTTCTTAGATCTTCCAAACTTTGTGACTATACCTTTAATGCGAAACTCGTTTTAAAAATTTTCCATGCATGTTTTGGTACTGTTTTTGAGAAATTCATGCATACAACATGTTTCAACATTTTTTCAATTAATACTACATATTTAGACTTCTATTTAGTATATTAAATAGTTTTTATTACTTTTTGCATAATTTGTGAATGTTGAAATTGAAGTTTTTCTCTGTCAGTACCCTGACAGTACACAATTGTTTTTGTTAATTGTTCTGTAACAAATGTTAACCCTCCGTTACCCATGCTAGATTTGTAAAGCAAGTACATGTGCTTTAAGCAACAATTGCAAGAAGAATCATTGCCAAGTGATTAAGTAACTAAGGACAATGATGAGGAAGCTGTAACAGTATCACTTAACTGACAGGAGGAGAATCAGGAGGAGACTCTCAGTCCGTTTGCATTTTTAAAAAAATCCATATTTGTAAAAAATGTATTTAATCAAATGTGAAATTGCCTATGACAATTCACAAATTAGAAACAGAAGATTTACTTCTTGTGAAGTCATGTCTCAGTGAAGTCTGAGTATATTATGTCTTTGGAATTGTCATTGAAAGTTGTTGTCAGTGTGGTCATTTAAAATTGTTGAATATATTACAATGTCTTTGGAATTAGTGTGAAAATGTAGGTGTGAGTGTCTGTTGTAATTATAAAAAAATTCAAATCCTGATTTAAAAAAGTAAAGGACCAAGTATTGATTCGTGTGATACCTCTCCCTGCATTGTAATGGTATTTGATCCTACTTTCTTTGTTATCCCATCTAAAGTGTATCTTGACTCTGTACTATGTTTGCACCCAACTACAAACGAAGTTCTATAGCCAACCCCCTTGATCCCACGTCTTTTTACTTTGTCTAGCAGTATGATTTGATTAACACTATTGAATGCTTTGGACATAGTCATAATTGGAGCTGCTACTTTGTACCCTTCATCTAGTGGGCAATATCATTGTGTCGCCAAATTCTGTAAGTGCTGTTAAAATTGACAGACCTTTCCTAAAACCATGTTGTTGGCTTGTTTGCCTCAAAGAATTTTACATTTCTGTTTAGTATGACTTCCTATTACTGAATGTGGTAGTTAGGCTATTGGCTTGTAATTTGAGACTATATTTTTTCTTTTTCTTTCTTTCTTTCTCTTTCTTTCTTTCTTTCTTTTTCTTTCTTTCTTTCTTTCTTTCTTTCTTTCTTTTGCTTTCTTCTTTCTTCAGTGTCCTTCTTCCTTTCTTTCCCTCCTCTGATCCTTATAGCGTTTCCTTGCTTCCTTTCTTTCCTTTCTTTCCTTTCTTTCCTTTTCTTTCCTTTCTTCCTTTCTTCCCTTTTCTTTCTTTCTTCCTTTCTTTTCTTCTTCCTTTTTTTTTCTTTTTCTTTTCTATTTTTTTTTTTAAATATGTTACTAGTGTGATAATTGTGTGGATACATTTTTTAAAAATTCAGTTGATATTTCATCCCACCCTGTTTTGTTTTTTTCCCCTTACTATGTTTGTGACGTTTGTGACTTCTTTAGCATCTGCCAGATACATATACATTGAACTAGTTACATTTGGGTCATCTACAGTAATTGATTTATTTGTTAACCTGTTTCCTGTAGTAATGTTTGGTTTTTATATTGTTGAAAAATATGTTGAACAGTTTACTCACTTTTAAAAAATCAGTTATTTTTTTGTTACCATTTGCTAGCTTGATATTGGAGTTTGTGTTTGTTGTTTTATTATTGTGGACTATTTTCTATATATCTTTGTTAATGTTGTTTGCGTTATTTAGTTTAGTATGTAGGGCTTCCCTCTTGTCTGTGAACAGTAGTCTTGTGTAATGCTTTTTTGTGTTCTTGTATTTTGTATGGAATAATTTTTATGTAGAATTTATATCATGTTATCATTTGAACAAATATTATTTGTTGTGAAAAATAAGAAAATATAGTTTGGTCTCACAGTGGCTCATATTTCTCCTTCAAAGTATGCTGTAATTACCTCTTGTGACGATGAAAGCATTTTCTGTATTCGAAAATATTTTTTTCTGACTAAAGGATGAATTTGACAGTAAAATTTAAAAGTTCACTGTTATAAAGAGCAATAAAACAAAAATGTAATATCCTAAAATTGGATTGTGCATGTTTTGTCAATTTTTACCCCACATCATGCATAGTTGGCTAATAGTGCACGTTTGCATGCATATTTTAGCAATCAAAAATGCATAGAAATCCTGTCTCTAATAATTATATAACTTCAACATAGGCATGTATAATAATTATGTAACCTAAAGAATCTAACCAATACCTAAACATAGTAAGATGTAAACATACTTCATTCTAACACACACTTCATAGTAAATAATCTTATCTTTTACAAAGTCATCAACACAATAAAAGTCATTACTAGGTATGAAGGAATGTAGACCTCTTTTGAATGCACATGGCATGGGCTAATCATTGAATAGTAGATTGGTTAATATTGGTAAATCCATTAATCCTTAAACAATGTAGGTCATTTTATGATGTTTGAGTTAATTTTGTTTTTGGTTCCATTGTTTAACTTCTTTCCTGATGTTTCCAGAATTTTTAAATTTTTTTTTATGTGGATTTGTTTGTCCCTGTCTATTTACAGCATCTCCACCCCCCACCCATGGGTTTCCCTGATGGTGCCTCTGCTACATCACAATTGGACTTTGAGCCTAGCTTTAATGCATTTAAACTCTGACAATGGATGCAAATGGATTTGCATTGTTTTATCTCGCACAAGTGTGGTGAAATAAAAGGGCACAAACAGTGCGGCTGGTATTAGAGTTTCTTATTCGTAATAAAATGGGAATGTTAACAATGGATCAGGACCTTGTACTAACAATTAATAAACACACTTTCAAGAAAAAGAACCAATAAAACTAGTATAAACAAAAATACAAAAAAAAATTAGAAATGGTGATTGCAATTAAAGTCAGAATACATGGACAGTAAAATTTGTTAGCTGGCCTAACTGTCACCTAGCCATTACTTACTATCAACCTAATAATGTCACCTAACCATTACTTACTATCAACCTAATAATGTCACCTAACCATTACTTACTATTTACGAAATGCCACTGTCTGTGCACAAAAATCGTATGTGCTCAAGGCACATGAATTTCTTGCACTTCCAACATGGAATTTTGCTTTGTCTGTTTTATAACAATAAATAATAATCATAATTCAATGTGAAAGTTCAAAACAAATACCAAAAAGCATGCCCAATAAATAAATATAAATTACCAGTTCACTCACAACAATCTCAAAACGAACAGTGTGCCTGGTCTCGGGGACCTTGTTGCAGAGTCATGTCACAACGATCACTTTTCAAACAGTATATAATGCATGCTCATATTCAAAATTGCCAGAGATACAAGAATGTATAGCTTCTGCACTCCAACAGTTGTAAATATTAATAAGATTTTTGATAGACCCAGTCTCAGAGACCACGTGACACTAATGGAGAGATAAAAAACATGACATGTCTATTGATGCTTATGCAAAAAAAATCATTTAAGCGATTTTCTGCAATGGAAAGTGACTTTCTTAACGTCTGAACTTTGTTCTTATCTACTTGATTGTTTTTAATTAACTTTTTATTTTTTATAAAAATCTTGATTGATTTTGTCTGAAATATAACTTTGAATTATTTCTCTTAGTAAAGAGCTTTTTAATTGGACACCTGAAGAAGCATTTATACTTACACAGCGTAATATACCTGCAAAACATAATGTACTGGAATTGTTTTAATCAAAATTTATATTATTTAAAGTTTGATTATAAGTTTTTTCTGCTTTTCGATTGTCTCTAAGGGTTCTTTGTTTATACAGTGTTAATTCTCTCTCTTTTACTTGAAAACTCCCTTGAAAATTTGCAATTTTTGTGAGATTTTTTTTTTTCTCTTCAAAACTTAAATCTCTAAGAATATATTTATTTCACTATTTGCTGATCTTAAAGAGCTTTCAAACTTGTACATTGTATGAAAGTAATTAAAATTTTGTTTTAGTGTTTACTGGTAATTGTATGTAAATGTTCTGGGTGATTGGTCTTTTTAAATTTTACAATGTGCCAATAGCGTGGAGAAGTGTTTCTTTTCATTATTGTAGTTGACTAAAATGGCTACCTTGGGTATGAAGTGTGTTATCTTTTGTTTTCAGATTTTGAGTTTTAAATTAGTTTTTTCCAATTACTATTTTAGATTTAAAAAGTTCATTCAACTCATTATTTTTATAGGAGGAAAAAATTAACCCCGCAAATTAGTTCTCAATTTTGTTAATGCTTTTAACCATTACAATTAATTAGTTAGACAGAGTTTTCACGAGTAAATTATTCTGTGTGTCCCATTAAAATGTGGTTGCATATCAAAAATTGCAGGTCACTTGATTAAAGTGGTGCAATCTTTGTTTACAATATCTTAAAGATTTCAAGGCAGCAATTCTTGTATCTTGTACCACAAAGGACACAATCCGTGAACAGATTCACTGTCATTTTCACATTTCAAGTGGGTGTCGCAGCCATTAGAAGTCTTTGAAAAAATATTCTAGGCTCTGCTGGACAAATTAGAATTTTTTAGACTGTAGACCGTACAAATATATGTATGTTATTTGATGGTACAAAAGACAAACATCCCTGATATTTCATGAGTACGACAATAAGAGCAGAAAAGGCTCAATCGTTAGTCTCTGCTCTCTCCTGTAATATCTTTCCTAGCAACCTAAACATCCCGTATCCATTTGATCAACACATTTGATCTAGTTTTCCTCCCTAACTGTGTTGCCTCTGCTGAGGGTAGCAGATGAGCTTGATGTTGTTGTCGGTTGCCTGTGGTGGTGCCATGCGCAGGACAGTTCAGTGCCAGGGGCTGCGTTTGTGTGGAGTGTGGAGAATCGTGGGGATGAACAGAAGGATGTCAGCATTACATTCACGTTCAAAAATGGTATTGGAGGACAAGAGGACAAAGCAGGTATATGGAATCATTTCTTTGTTAAATGCTATTGACATTAACTCTATTTATAATGGCCAAAGACACATCATTTGATTATGTTAGCAAATGTACGACTCTTCTCTACTTGTGGTCTGTAATGCAGTTTAATTTAATATTCATTCATGAAGAAACTCTGAAGATCTAATAAGTTTGATTGCTAATTATTATTATTATTATTATTAGTATTATTATTATTATTGTTGTTGTTGTTGTTGTTATTATAATGTGTAATTTTTTAACAACAGAGAAATCTTGAAATGAGTATGATTGTCACATGAAATTAACAAAAAAATAAAAATATCCTTTTATTTTTGACAATTAATAAGGCTATTCACCAAAAGATACTTTAATTTTCAATTATGATGTTTTGTTTGTTGGTTACATGTATCTTCAGATGTGTAAAATATGATGATGACAATTTTCATTCTTTCTTTCTTTGTCGTTTATTCTAAAATTGTTATTCAATATCTTCAAGAAGTGTGTTTGTCATTTTTACTTTCAGATGAAAACTTGTCTAATATTTTATGACACCCCTGAAGATGCACGTAACAAATATGCGAAACATTGTAATTGAAAGAAAAATACTTTTTTGATGAATAACCTTCTTGATTGTCAAAAATTAAAGGATATTTGTGCTTTATGATTGGTAATTATTATTACAAAACAGTGATAATAATTATCTAATAATTAATAAAGAGTAAATATTGATATTTCTGAATTCAACTCATATAACATGAACTAATAGAAACATTGTGTTTAACAAAATCAAATAAGTTAACAATATGGTGTAAAATAACATGATATGACGTAATAGGTCAGAAGATTCCCCTCAAAAACGATTACAAAATAAGGAAATGTATCACAAGTAACAGTTGTTAATAAAAAGTAGTGAAAATAATATAATAAATTCAAACACGTTAGCAAGTAAGCCAAGATAATGGAGACAACACTAGTTCACAGTGAAGTGTTCATCCATGAAGAGGTGTGCAGAGCTTAGAAAGGGCTAATAAACAAGGCTGTGACCACTCCTTCTGGATGTTCGTTCAAGAGACCACTACTCTTTTAGAACATTTTTGTAATGCGCTAGCTTGAAATTCATCTTCTTCAGTTTCATATTGTGGCTTCTGAGTTAGTGATTTTGTGATCTTTGAAAGATTCTATGAAGAGTGATATAAACTGAGTGTAAGAACTGTATGTCTCGATCATATCATCTCATTTTCTCCTATCACTCTGCAATGGAAGTTTCTTTTGCCTATTCTTGTTCATATGTAATTTTTCTTATATCAGCTAGAATGTGCATTGCTTTTCTTTTCAATTCAGTTTAATTCTGCCTTTATTTCTGTGGCAAGACTCAGTCCATCAGGCCTGCTCTTCTGCCTGACCTCACCAATTCCACTACTATTCCAATTTCACTGTCTGGCAGCCAAAGGAGTTATCAATCAAGCGACAAAAGAGGCAATTTAAATTTAGTTCAGAGGCTTTTAGGCAAAAGGATATTTTACATTTGGTAAATATGACATGGGACTGCCAGCTTTACTTCTTTCTTGTAGAAAGGTGTACAAAGGATTTTTTTGTCCTTAAAAATCCATGGCTTCAATCAGGTTTGAATCTGCGAACTTGGGAATAATGTTTGATACCCTCATAGTTACACCATCGAAGCAACTAAACCTTTTTATCATTTTGGAGCAAATGAATTCCCTTTATGTAGTTGGAGTTCCAAAGGGTGGTGCCAAATTCAGGAAGGATGACAGGAAGAATGTAAGTTTTGTTCAAATCTTCTCTCTTAATCATCATGAAAGCTTGGTGAATCACAGAGATTACCATATTAGCTTTTCTGACAATATAATATTGTATGGGTATCACATTTGAGATATTTTGTTACAAAAATTCCAAGGTCCTTCATAACAGTCAGTGATGGTGTTGACACGCTTGTATCAATGTGATAAGGTAGCTTACGGTTATTTTTTATTGATGAAAAGCACTTAGCATCATTTAAGAGGTTCAGCCACTGTGTAGCCTAGCATTGAGCTGCATTAAGATCCATTTGAAGTTGGATGTGGCTGGTGAGTGGGTTAGATGTCTGTATAAATCATAAAATATGTTTCTTTTTGTGGGGCAAGTTGCTAGTGCACATGATGAATAAAATTGGGGCAAATACATAATCTTGAGGGACTTTGTAGGGGGAGGAGGGGAATTTGTAATTTTTTCTATAATCTTTTCTTACAGCTCTAAAATGTTGTGGTAAAATGTGGTAGGATTGTTGGGAAATTGAGATCTCCAAAGATAAGTGCAGTAAGGTTTATATCATTGGGTCTCATTATGCGTTTACGATGCTCTGGTGTGTGCATGTGTGTGAGTGTGTGTGAATGTTTAAAGTATCGCCAATGCTAGTACTCAGATTTCTCCAATTGTAATTTATGTCGTGGCTGTTGCGAAAATGCATTTCTGATGAGAGTTGGTGAATATCTCTCTTATGGCTTCAAAATTGTCATGCTAAAGTTTCTTTGCTTCTCAGGGGATTGAAGGTGATCTTACAATGTGATGTGTTGGTCAAAAAGTAAACGGGTATGATCAATACTGCCAATGAGGCTTATTGTATTGGGTGTAGAAATTACTTGTTCATTGTTAGTGAAGATGAGGTTTAGGATTGATGGGCATTACCCCACTGTTTCTTGTCATACCTGTGAGCAGTTGAAGCACAAAGCTAGTATCTGCAAAAACCTCAAGGAACTTTTTGGCACCTGGAGAGAGACCATATTGAAATATGGTCTCTGATGTTGTTAGTGGCTATCAGAGAGTTGGGAAATTGAGATCTCCAGGGATAAAGAGTAGTGAGGTTTATATCAGTGGCAGTATACGTGTCAAAGAGAGTGGTATTAGAGTTAGTTATCATAGGCAGAGGCAGGCAGAATGAATGAATGAATGAATGAATGAATGAATGAATGATTGATCGGTTGTTTGATTGAATAATATAATATGCAATTAGCGGATGTCTTGTATGTTGATCTGAAGCCCTAAAGATTTTAAATTTTCACTTTGCAATTTAGGTCATGGTATGACTATTAAAGAATGCTCATGAAGATCTTTAGCAATATAGATCACAATACCTCCCCACCTGTCCTCTATCTCTGCAGGGTATAATAACCTGGAATGTTGACCGTTTGATCTGAAATATCGGGTTTGAGTCATGCCTCAGTGAAAATAATTATGGTTGGATTATTGCCCTCAATTTCCACCAGTAGTTGATAAAATTTTGTTAATATGCTGACTATATTTGTATAGAGTTTAGTTGGATAAGCCAAAGCAACTGTTGCCTGCTTTCATTGCATAGAGATTTGGAAACGGCTTTGGAAATGTAATGCATTAGTTCCCATGAGGAAAATAATTCTAAAATTGTAAATATCCCTGTAATAAGTAGCACCTCAGCCTCTGGTGACCCCTATCTCAATCAGGTTTTCTGTACATTATCACCAATCCTTTGAGCAAATTTTGAGAGAGCCTGTTGTTTTACTTCTGGTCAGAAATGTAGCTTCACTGTGCATGATCTCTAGTTCAGTGCAGAATTTAGTTCTCGCAGCAGTAAGTTTAATCCTTCATAGGCATGAGGAGGGATAATAGCCTAAATCTGTAACTGCTTTACTTTTGAAATAGTTTTTATTACATTGAAAAGACTTTTCTTATCATTTTTTCTCGAAATGCTTGTTTCCATTTGCCTTCATTATTCAACTTGTATGTGATTAGGGTTGAGATCCTAGAACTCAGTGCATAGAATTCACTTCTCTACGTCATACGTCACACAATTTTTAATTGTTTTTATGTTAAAAAATAAATAAAAAAGACTTACGTGATTTAATACAGGACATGTTACTTCAATTATTTACTAGTCCATGACTTGCTAACAGAGGTAACAATAATTAGATGAGATTAGTTTTATTTAGTCAAAAAGCAGTAAAAACTGTATGTGACTTATGGGGTGAAGATTATCTGCCTAAGTCTTCTTGAGTTCCAGAATCCCTTCCCATCATTTTAAATATAAATAGTTGAAAGATGAGTAAAAGTTTAACATAAATAAATAATAATAAATTTTAAAAATCGTAAAATTAGCAATATTAAAAAAATAGACATTTTTGTTTCTGAGTTATAGACACTTGCATCAGTAAACAAATTGCAAGTATAATTTTTCTGCATTGCTAACAAAATAGTAACCCGCCCTTACTTCTACTCTTACTTTTACAAGCAAAAGGAGAGGTCAACGAAGCGTGCGCATAGTGAAGCTACATTTTCGTCCAGAAGCAAAACAAGGGGCCATCTCAGCATTTGCTCAATGGATCAGGGAAAACTGGACAAAAACCTGATCGAGATGGGGGTTATTAACACGGAAGCTGAAGTACATTATTTGTTACAAACATATTAAGTCTTTTAAAAAAATTTATACAATACAACTAACTAATCCATTATATATCACTGTTTTGTTAAAGTAAATGTTATTTTTCGTTTTGATAATCAGTATAGTCTCTAATTGTATAGAAACAATTATGCAGCAGAAAAAATTTGACTCTTAACTTAAATTTGTGAACCGAATTTAAATCTTTAATGTCATCTGGCAATGCTCAAGGCTTGTGAGGGCAAGAGGGCTCAAGAGAGGCTTGCAAGGGCAACGTGGACAGCATTTTTTCATTATTCAAATAATTTTCTTTTGCAATCTAAAGGTCTGAGTAATACATGATGAGTTTCCCCAGAATTGTATACCTTATCTCAGGCAGGAATGTACATTTGCAAAGTACACATGATGAGTTGCATGAAGGCTGACAGAATTTGATAGAATTCTGAATGCGTAATAGAATGAACTTAATTTATTGTTTAATTTTGTTATATGTACATTCCATTTGAGGTTTGACTGAATTGAGAGACCTAGAAATTTTGTTACCTGGACATCAGCTAATTGCATATTATTCACTTTCATTCATTCATTCATTCAT